TGAAATAGAAATTTACAAAAATAATGAATATTATTAAAAAATGAAATGGGCATGAGAGTGTTAAACAAACCATGAAAGACCGGACGGCAAGATCAGGCAGCGTTGGAGAGTAGAAGTGAAGCATGGCGGCGTGAGCATTCTCTGTGACTTTGCGGAACACTTTATGTCTTGATTCCGTCCATAGGTCCAATTGTTCCCCAAAACCTTTGATCATAACCCACTCAATCATTAATCCTTTGAAAGCAATAACAGCCTGTAGAACTCTACCAAGGGTGACCTGTGTATGAAATAGGAGGCAATTACAAAACGCACACAAGAAAAATAACTGCTTACACATCTCACCTAATGCAAATTAAATCAATGATTATAAACATCATAGGATTTGGCAACAGTGATCTCCTTTATTCTGCTGTTACTCGACAGAGAAAGTTACTCATCAAAACTAATATTAAGGGTACCATCGACCTGACACATTTAATTACAGTGGTTTCTCTCTCTTAGACAATAATTTGGTTTTATTGTACACAAACACTTCACCTCATTTCATTTGATCGTGCTTTTGGCTAACTGTGCATTTCCCTTGATTTTGACAGTTGTAAAAAGATAAAACACAGGCAGCAAACAAGCATTTTAGAGCTTTTTTGTGTTGTTTTTTGGCGGATTGTTTTGCGTAAAAAGTACCTTACACACCAGCAAAACTGGATGAAAAAATGACATGTTCAGAGGTGACCAAAGTTACTGATACTAGCCACATTTGATTCTAAAGTTGGGCATGGAAAGTAAAAGAATGAGCTTGAGGGAATTGATTCCAATGTCCACCCAACCAGGCGAGAGATCATTAATTTTTTAAAGCTTTTGTATGACTTGTGAGAACATAGCTTATTATTCCCTGGATTAAAGAACTATTTGTAATGAGAAATATAAAATTCTTGCCAAATATGTTTTTTACCGTTAAAACAGCATTTGATGCAAAAGGTCTTGCAATAACCATGGTCATGTTAGGAAACAATCTGTCAATATTAAGTATAACATTATCAACCGCCCTGAAAACAAAAACAAAGAAATTAAAATTTGAGCTCGTTGAAACTTCCCTGCTTACAATTGAATCGGCGTATGCAAAAACGTCCATTGTCCAATGCAGGGTTTCATAATTGCGGCGGGTTTCTTTTGTCCCACGACATTGATGAATAGGATCGATCTTTTGTGTAGACGTTTCATTACACTTGGGGATTATTTATAAAATTGTTCTACATTCCTAACGTCTCAAACCATTTTGTGTCGTTAAGTTACAACAAACTTGTCCACTCAAATTCTGAAACACTGTCTTGGACATTGGACGTTATATACTTGCATTGATATTTTTCCTTTGCTCACAAAAACTTCACACACTAACTATCTGGATATGAAAGGATGGTAGACCACTCCTGGGTCCACACTAAGGTGAAAGTCAGATAAATCCAAAAAATTAAAATCAGATCGGAAAGGGGCTGACTGAGGAGCTAAAATGGACTTTATTTTGCCTTAAGGAACTTCCGGCTCATGCATAGCGACACTGATGGCATGTACGTTATTTCTTATGGGAGTCAGAAACAGCGGTTCTTTCTCGCAGAATGTCGTCCAAATAAAAGCGGTACCACTATGCGTCTCTCAGCAGGACTCCAGCAATGCGTCTCGGAGGCAACGGCCTGAGCTGAACTCTCTCTTCTCAGTCTTGCACTGAATCTCATTAGAGTTCATTACAATTTTAATTCTGATTTCAGATTTTTTCTGATCAGTGTTCAAAACTCATCTCTGAGTTTTAGGAGCCATGTGGCGCATGAAGCCCGATTTTTAGGCGCCATTGAAGATTTTTTGGGGGCCAAATCGACTTTTCGCCTATAAATTACGGCGCATTTTGTGGAAAGTTAGACGAAAAATGTTTTTGGAACAGAACCAGTAAGTAGCTGTAACTTGGGGAAGACAAAAGCACTAAGATTGAAATCATGAAGAATAGAAAAAGCTTTCACTTGTAGTGCTGAAAATGCTGAGTTTTTTAAATTCAAATAGATTTGTTTTTCTTTCTTTATGTGACTTCTTATGAAAATCCAGATTTTTAGGCGCATTTGGCGCCTGTGAGTTCTGAACACTGTTTCTGATTTTAATTTCCCCTCATGGTAGTGCAAATTGAGCATTTTGTTACTATCCTTTTACATACGCTATTTGAATCATATTAATAGTGTTTTTTTCTAAGTACGGACAGTTGCAAATATGTCCTTTTCCTGTTTGGGAGCAGGCAGTTGCACATAGATGCATTCGCATCTCCAGCTGCTTGATGATAAAGAGCCTCCCTAAAAATGGCCCCTTTTCGGGAACCCGGGGATTTCATTCGTATG